ACAACAAGAATCTCCATATGGTGATTCATCTTCCAACACCAGCTTATCATTTAATTTACCAGGAAAACTTGGCCTTCTGGGAAAGGTATCTTCAAGACTGCAAAATTTACTATTTTTCAGTAACCCCATATCAAATTTCTTGATCTTTCTGACTTTATGTACAGTAGTATCACTTCAGAAAGCACCTTCAAGACTGCTAAATTTACTATTTTTCAGTAACCCCATATCAAATTTCTTGGTTTTTTCTGATTTTATATGCAATATCACTTTAGAAAGTACCTTCAACACTGCAAAGTTTTCTATTTTTCAGTAACCCCATATCAAATTTCTTGGTTTTTCTGATTTTATATGCAATATCACTTCAGAAAGCACCTTCAAGACTGCAAAAGTTACTATCTTCGCGTAACCCCGTATCAAATTTCTTGATTTTTACGATTTCATATACAATATCAAAACATGGCCTCTTGGGAAAGATAGATACCTTCAAGATCGCAAAATTTGCTATTTTTCAGTATCCCCATATCAAATTTCTTGATTTTTACGATTTCATATACAATATCAAAACATGGCCTCTTGGGAAGATTGCAAAATTTGCTATTTTTTAGTAACCACATATCGAATTTCTTGATTTTTATGAATTTATATGCAATATGACTTCAGGAAGCCATCCAGCAACGAGAAACAGCTCAAAAGATTGCCCTCCAAGCACTTAGAGAGGCCTCAGCCACCGAAACTCTCGTTCGATCTCTCAAGTATGCAGCATAACTTGTAGTTCTTTTTGTCAATATTCATCTTTAAATCTTCATGGGAATCAAGCTAACTTCAGTCTTGTGTTACAACTTGTAGGAATCTATCTAATCTGAGCAAATCAGCAAAACCCGAAAATCCATCCGATTGTTTTGACCAGTTCCTTGATTTCCATAGCCAAATTGTTCAAGCAGTAACTGAAATGACATCCATCAAAGCTGCAACAGAAACAGCAAAAGATGGCAAGTCTCAAATCTCTACAGAAGACACACCAATGTTACATGACAACAACAACGATTCAGATATGAATAGTGCATCCAAGAGACGAACAGCACTATACAAATCAATCGCAGCCTTTCCTGAAAGAAATGATCAGAAACCATCGAATCTGATGAAGCAATCGAGAGCTCAAAAGGCGAAAGTGTTTGAAAACGACGAAAACAAGAATCCTGGGTGTTGTTGCAGCCTAAGCAATACCATTAAACTTGGGATGCAGATCGAAATGGAGGCTGGGAAATGGTTCATGGAGTTCTTGGAGAAAGCATTGGAAAAGGGTATGAAGAAGTCGAGAGGAAACATGGATTCGGATGCGAAGAAAGTTCCTCAATCGCTTATATTGAAGGTGATCAATTGGGTTGAAGTTGAACAATGTGATTCTAGCAAGAGACCAGTTCATCCAAAAGCAACACAAATTGCTAGAAAATTGAGGATTAAAATGAAGAACCCTTGAAGGTGATCAATTAAAATTTGGTTGGGGTGTGATTGATTCTAGGTTGAATTAAATTGTGTCAAATATTGTTTGATTAGTTGCTATAGAAAAGCACATGATTTCTTTAAGACATATCATGGTTTTTGACATAAGATCCTGTAGTTATTATAGTCATGTATGAAAAGATTGTCTTCATTGTTTTCTCACGAATAAAGCACTGTTTTTTTTAGTAAATCCAATCCAACGCGAAATAATTCAATCTGAAGTAACCCAATGTCTAATCGAGTTGTAAAAATTTTAAACCGTAGGTATTGAGTTACTATTATTTGAACTCAACTCAACTCGATGAACCCGATATCTTTTTTATTTCTTGGATTTAATATAATTATTGAATTTCTACTAAAATATACATTAGACAATTAGACTATCACGTATGCTTTTCATGTACATATATTTTCATATATATATATATATGCAATAACTGTGAACATATATATGTAAATTGAGAAAATTAATTGAATGTGATATATACATAAGAAGTATGAATAAGTTGTATTAAATGGTTGATGATGAAAAATAAATTATGAATAGAGAATAACATATTCAAGGTAAGAAGAATATTTTAATGTATCAACCCGACCAACCCGTACGGTTGGATTTGGGTTGGGTTGAGTTGAGTTGAGTTAAGATTTTTCAAACTGCAAACATTGTGTTGCATTGTTCAAATTTGATTTTCATAATTGTGGTTTTCGTCCCTATAGTTTGTAAAATTCTTTGTTATTTTCATTCTTATGATTTACAATTTATTATTGTTTCAGTCTTTGTGGTTTAAAAAATCCTTTATGGTTTTGGTCATTTGTACTTAAAGGTAGAAATTAGTCATGGTATAAAAATAACAATGAATCACAAATCATAAGAATGAAAATGACAGTTTCTAAACCATAGAAACAAAAATCATAATTTACTCTAAAATGAAGTTTGTAAGGCCACAATTAACCAACAACCAAAAATATATAATCATCGAAAATACTAACATCACAAGAAAATTCAAATGATGTAAAAAAGTTCGAACTGAATTCAACAATCTAATCCATATGGACGATTTTGGAACTCTACGGTTGTCTTAAATTGGAGTTGTTTGAGGAAAAGTCTTGGATTTATACACAACGACGAATAAAAATATGTACATTTCGTGAAACATTAGATCTAAATACACGTTGCAACATTTTCACATGAGCTTTTATCGATCACTTTTGAAATATCTGTATAAAACTTTCTATAAAACATTTTTGTAAAGAAAAGGAACGTGACAACAGATAGGATTATTCAAAACTATCATGTCTTTACTTTTTTTAAATATATATGATGGGATGCTAATGTATAAAGCAGAGACGTAACATCTATACCCAAACTAAAGTTATCGCAAACAAGAGCTCCTAAGCAATTATATATATATATATAACTTTTAGTTGGCCTCATTGGATTAGGTTGGGTTGATTTGAGCTCAACTCTTTTCCAATCCAACCATGTTGACCTGTAAAATTTAGAACTCATTTGAGTTCCGATTTAGTTTGAATCGGGTTCATAAACCTATTTTCGGGTTGAGTAGTCGGTCCATGCCTTAAGCAAGACGAAAGCTTAGACAAGTAGTGAGTACCACTAGACTACAAATTTATGCTTTCAAGTACCTTTGCTTAAACGAAATTGGTATGGGTTCAAGGTACAACTAGCAGTTTTTCGAACATTTAGAATTTTTTTTTCATTTTGTAAGACGTGGGTTATTTTAAGTACGTTTTTGGTGCTAATGATGTTACGACAATCGTATCGTTGCATATGCTTGTTTGTAAAGTATGTCATAATGCCATCATGAAAAATATGAGTATTACAGATATAATGCATGTTTAAAAAAAAGGTCTATCTATAACAAAACCCCATCGAAAAGCTAGTCACTCTTTTTTGTGCCAGTAGATAATTATTTTTATTGCATTTTTATAAAAAAAAATATCGTTTTCATGATTTAATGTCATATTTTTATAAAATAATATGATCTAGAGAACACTTTATATCATAGAATTATACGGTTGTCGATACAGTATTAGTTAAATGCACAACTCGTGATGCATTCAATTTGTACCCCATGGAAGTTCAAAACTTATTTATTATATATAATTTAATTAGAAACTCTGTTTTAAAAATTGTTATGAGAAGAATGCATAAAAATTGGTCCTCAACTAATTTTAGGGGGGGTTAGAGATGTTAAACAGTGATTAATGAGAATGAAAATAGAAGAAATTGTTTGGTATTATATAATACAACGAGTTCATTATTTCATAAGTTCAAATTTTTATATCAGATTAAATTGTTTTTTTAATTTTAATTATATTTTCATTTTCATTCATGAAGATGAATCAAGCAGAACATTAGTTTAATTTTCTTAAAGTCAATGTTGGACTTAATCAATATGGTCGACAACAAAAAAATGGTTCTGATTTGGGGCCGACAAATCCAACCAACCTGTGTTGCTTGAGCTTGATTTTATGTATAGTAATATATTTAAAAAAAATTCATGGACCACATATTAAGTGAAATATATTGTGTATGTTTAGCTCGAAAGTTTATTTATTATGATTTAGATACTTATGAAATATCATCAAAATTTATTTATTGGATCATGTTTTATATTAGGAAACAATCAAGATATTTATTAGACTTGATGAACGATTGAGATTTGTTTGTGTGGTTTTTACTAATGGTTGGGTTTGTAAATGAAACCATACAAGGGTCGGTTTAAATAAAAAGACTAAATATAACGACATGATAAGAAGAGAAGGTTAAAGGATGATTCTTATGTGAATTTATTGAAAAAAATCTAGAATATTTAGTTGAAGATGCATATGTGAACCTACGTTATAAATTATTCATATGGGTTCACACATGAATCTTTATTTAACATTATCTTCTTAGCATCTCACGATATCTAGCTTTGTTATTTGAACGTGTATATATATAGTTAGGGTCAAGCGAAAATCGCAAAAAAATGAAACTGAATAACACTCTAATAATCATTATTCTTTACAGTATACACATGTGCATATAACTAATAGAAGATGTTTTTGGTTTCTATGCATATGTTATGCAAATATGCATACCGAACAAACATACACATATGCATATCGTACCAATCAATGATTAAAAGTGTTTCTCAGTTTTTCATTTTGGTTTCCTATTGATCTCTCTCTCTATATATAAATATTTGTTATATTAATACATATAATGTAGACTTGGGATAATGTGAGACCAAACTGTTTTCTTGATACCACATAAAAAAAACTTTGGAGGTAATTTTCATAATATTTTTGCTGTGATTGTTCTGTATTTTTTGTATCTTTACAGTGTTTTTACTGTAAAGTTTCAATGATCTCATAAAAACATCCGGATCTAGTATGAACCCAATACTTATGTGAAATACTATTAAAAGTTTTAGGAATAGACGGACAACCTATTTTATGGCTACTGTTCTACATTGCATTGTGAGTTGTGACAATGAAGTAAAAGGGGGATCGTCACTCTCTCCATAACTTTCAAGGGAGGTTACTACGCCTGAAGCAACTCCCAAATTGGCGTAACCGTATCATGTGCGATTGTTTCTTATCGTTTGCTTCATGTAAACCCCAAAGCAATTTCCAATCCGATCGTCAAAAACCCTTGTTGATCATCAAGGATAACGATTATGATACTGCTGCCGCCGCCGCCGCCGCCCAGTTACACAATCCGACGGCGGCGATGGCTTTGATTCTCACATCCTGGCTCAACGGTCACTGGTTACGTTATTTGATACCTTTTCTCTGTTCTCCTTTACTAATCCCTATCGTTTGCGCGACTTTCCCCTTCCTTTGTGCCGCTGAGGTCTGTTTCCGCCTCTGCCGCCGTCACCGGTTGAAATCAGCTGCTCCTCGACCACCGCCACCGCCAGTGATTCCGCGGCGTGTAAACGATGTAGAAGGCGGACGACAGGTAAAAACTGAATTTAGTTTGTTAAATAGGTATCTGGATGATCAATTAGAGCTTGCTTTTGAGATTTTACGTGAATGTGGGGGTGAATTAGGTTATGATTATGATTATATGGAGGATTTCGATGGTAATCGGAGTAATATGTTGTGTTAGATTTGGTAGATTTTTGTATAACGACCTGTTCTTCTTCTCTCTGTGGCTTTGATTGTACATAACTGATCTCGATAATACCTAGGATTTTGATTATCAACCGTTTTCCAATTCTGCTTACAGTTTACTAATTGAAGAACTATTTGATTCCAAATCGAGTAAAAAGTTATCCTCCATGGCTGATTGCTTATCTGTAACACTTTTGATTCAATCAATGAATAGATGAACCAGTTCATTAATCGATCAATGATTAGGTCTAAACACGGTAGAAATTTGGGGGTTTCCATGTTATTAATTCAAACATATCAACAGGATCAATTACACAAATCTTAGTGAGAAATAAGATTAAAGATACATACTTGAAGAAGATGAAGCTATATGTTATCCTTCAATACTCCTCTTAATTGCCCACAATAATAATGGATTAATTAGCCATAAGTGTTTTTGATGATCTCCCTTATGCAATCCTTAATCGGGGCTGTGTGTGTTTTGAGAGGGAGACGTTCTAGAGAAGTTTAGGCAAGAGAGGAAATAAATATATAGATAACTATCATATTTATAATTAATACACAGAGACCAATATCGACCATCATAATAAATTAGAGGACCTGTATATCAAATGGGAATAATAATAAGAAAATAATCATGGATTAATAAACTTATGTATAAAATAATATTAATAGTTTAGGCCACATTATAAATAAATCTTGCATTCAGTCAGATTCTAGATTTAGGAATAGGTTGCATTCAAATCATCATGCTTCAAGATTCCTTGATTCATGGATACGAATAGAAAATTTGTATACCAGTTTTCATGAACACAAAAAAGTACCAAATTTGGCAATTCCAATAAGATTTAGGTATATAACATCAAACGATGTATAAATTCTGAAAAAATAACTTCGTGTATTTAATTAAAATTTAATTTTGGTTCACAATTCAAAACTTTTTTACATGTGTTTCTGTTCACAAACATGTAAAAAAGGTTCACACCTGAGTAAATATGAAACAAACATATTATGAAATGAATATATGTCGATCAGTACATTAAATTCTAGTCAATATCAAAAATCATGTAAGATGATACATGATGCATTGCTTCTCGGATATCTTACAAATTAGAAAGTTCTCAAAATAAGATCCCTAAGGTTATATAGATAAATATGAATATGTGTCAAATCGATGATTTCAAATAGATGTGTTAACTTAATCATATAAAATGTATATCAAGTGAACCTCATGTAAGAGACGAATCAAATACACGAGACTGTCAGATCCGATCACTGACTTGTTTGTGTGAATACACCACTGTCGAATCATCTTACAGTCTAAAAACCATTGACACATTATAATAAAGATACTGCACAATGACTATAATCCAAGTCATGTCGAATGAAACATTAAACTCGAACTCCCTTTTGACTTTAGAGCTTATAAATGTTTGATTTTAAATCAAAACATAAAATATAACATTTATCATTTTAGTTTCCTTAACTAGACTTTCTAAACACCAAGGGTTGTTTGTTTACTTCTTAATAGTTTCATTAAGAGGTAACATCTGAATCGTTAAAAGGTGAATATTATTTGACAAAAAAAAAAGGTCCGCCTCTTAATGGTTTTAAAATCCCCTGAATGATTTTGTATCTAGGCATCTCTTAACCATTCAGCACCATAATTCCATCGTGAACAAATATTGAACAATCTACTTCATTTTGTATTATATCATGAGAGCTTATTAATCTTCTAACCACTTAATTATTCTGTATCAAACTATTCAGTAACCGTCAAACAACCTTCAAGTCATACCTGGCATTTAAATTGGACACACGCTTTTCTGAGTTCTCTTTTATATTAAGTTTTATTTAGCGAAACGCATTTTCCTGTCATGATTCAGTTCAGCCACGTATAAAGCCACCGTCATCTTGAGGTGCATCAAAACAAATTCTAAAGTGGGACCAAATCACTTAGCATAATGTTAAACAAAACAACGAATAATTATAAAGCATTGGTCACCTAAAAAGAATATACAATTGTTTTTTTTTCCAACTGTTTTTACCAAAATATTCAGCAGAAATTAAATTTGCAACCTCGAACTCTTTAATAACGACATTACCAGTAGATAGCAGTCACTTTTTATGAACATAAAAAAATATACATCAAATTTGAAGCAAACACACCTCTAAAGCCCTAATTTTGTTTCCGATGACATTAGCAGTAGATTGCAGTCATTTTTTCTTTTGTTTAATCGATTCCTATCCATACCCTCTTATTCATATACACCTAGTTCTTATCCCCCATCTCACTCGTATACTTCTTATAGAAGGGGGTATGAATAGAATTCATCTTTTGTTTATTATTTTTTCTCAAAAATTTAAAAGAAATTCGAAAGGATTTAAATTTGCCATCTTTAATTTCACGATAACGACAACATGATTTTTTTTTTGTAATCATAGAGAACATACATCAAATTTGTCTGATTTATATTTAATTTACCAAACCTTTAGGTGTGAACACCAGATATATTGATTATCAGAAACAAACTTCTAATAACATGTTTAAGAGATTATTTAAAACGTACTAAAATAAATTATTCAAATATGTGAAAATAAATTTGATTAAGCCAACCATATCCCCACAATTATTGGGTTTCATTCCCATTAAACCACAATCCTCATTCAATAAACCCAGTTTGAGAATTGAAATTTCAGGGAGGGTTTGTGGAAATAGCCAATTCCAGTTTAAGGTACGACTCTAGGTGCAAAAGTTAGAAGTAATCAACACAGTATTATTAGGGCTTAAAGATGAATCAAACAAATATAAACAAAGGTTTGTTCATTTAATTTAATCGAACAAATGAACGAACATACATGAACGGTAAACGAACAGATTTTTTTTTGTGTTTGTATCGTTCGTTAAAAAGTGTGTTTGTTCATTAAAATGTTAAACAAACGAACATAAACGAACGAACCACATATATATTGAAGGCAACCACCATTACTCATCATTTTATTTCTAAAAAATGACCACATAACATAATGAAAAGAAACCAGAAAAATAGGATAGATAAAAAAAGAATTCTAAAAATTTAATTTAGTTTCATTAACAATTTCACATATAAATGTCATAATATATAAATATATTTATAACGTAAACGAACATAAATGAACGAAACCATTGTTCATGTTTATTTATTAAGCTCTAAAAATAAGCATTACAAAAATAGAAGTCAAAAAATGCGTTTGCCGGGAGTCGAACCCGGGTCTATTGCTTGGAAGGCAATTATCCTAACCGTTGGACTACAAACGCTGGATGTTATTAAATTCTTTTTTTTTATATTTTGCAATAAAACTTGGATTGAATCCAATCAACAAACCTGACTTTTGTCTCTTGAAAATCAAAATCTGATATAAATCACTTTGCAATTTGATTCATTTTAATTGCTAAATAAGTTACAGGTCAAGGTTGACCTTTATTATGCTAACATCTGTAATGACTTAATGCTATGTTGAAGTATATCGATCATTCGTATTTGAACATGTAATTCAGTTGTAAGAACGTTTTATGTATTACGTTACAAATTGCAATATGATGTGATGTTTATGAGTTTTACACGATATTAAGTCATGAAATATCGTCACGGCCTTGATAAACCTTTCGAATCATCTGTTTAACCATCAATACTTTCATAAATTTATCGATAACTCAAATACAACCATATTAATACAACTACGTAAGTGGAGGTGGGTTCAATTGCAAACCGGTTTTAGATTGTGAATTAGAGAACAAATGAGAGTGTTTCAGGTGTCCCATATTTTTTTTGGGTTCTTTCATGATGAATGATGTATCAATTTAGGTTGTCAACTGGGAGACAAATGAGAGTGCGTCACATGCCACACGCCTTCACGGGTTATTCATCATGGATAATGTATTATTCATAATGAATATGATTACTTTTATAATGAATAATTAATCGTGTATTATTCATCACTAATGTTGTATTATTTATAATGAATAGTTCATAAACGTTTACTTTCGTTATTCATGTGAAATGTTGACATTTGAGGACACATGTCGCGCTCTTCTTTTTCTGCCATTTCACGACCTGAAATCGATTTTCAACTGAACTTTCTTAAATGCAAATAAACTGGGAAATTAATTAAAATAGTCATTTCTAGATGTTGGTTTCATCTTCTAACCATTTTTATTTAAAATCACCAAAATGTCAATTTCACAATTTGTGGAGGGATCAAAGTGTAAAAAAAATAAGAGGTTCTGAACCAGCTCATCAAATATGTAATAATAATATAGATCCTTGAGAAATTGGGATAAATATACATATTTGGTCCCTCTATTTACAAATCTGGTTTAAAAACTTTTTTTTTACACTTTAAATCCCTGTATAAGTTGTGGACCTGTCCGGATCTCATGACATTTTAGTAATTTTAAGATAAAATTACTTAAAATATGAAATTAACATCTAAAAATATCATTTTAATTAATTTTTCAAATAAATATTATATTATTTATTATTAACAACCATTATTCAAAATCATTATAAATACAAACAAGCGAAAACGTGTTACACGGAACATCCAATTATTGACTCCTCCTTTTGCTTTTCCGTTTTCCCCCTTCTTAAATCATTGCGTACAGTAACTGCCATCATGTCATCACCTTTGCTTGTCCTTCCTTATTTACCCACCCTCAACAAATTTTAATTTACATGATTACCCCCTTTAGTTTCAAAAACTTCTTTCCCCACCCCCTAAATCAAATCATTTTCTTTCCGCAAAATAATACTTTACCCGATGACAGTTAACTTTGTTTTATTTAAAAAGACAATTGATGCTAATGACGTCGAGTATATTCGACAAAGAACGTAAAATTGAATTACCTTATGTGGTAAACGACATTGTAATATAAGGTTAGGTCCAAGGCTTTTTATTACTCAATTATATGCACAATTAAATTTCAAACTGCTTGGTCACATTTTATGACCGACGTAAGAGTGTTCTTGACAAAGGACGATGGATCTAATGACAATAAAATATAAGGTGTCATGCGTCAGTGATCATTTGACGTCTTCTAAAGATGGTGCCTTAATATTCCACGACGCATGTCACTACTAAGGATCGTGTTCTTAGGCATCGCGATGCAATAATAGATAGTTCTTTTGATGAGGATTATAGTTATCTGAATAATGGATCTAAGAGGTACAAAGATCTAAAGTTTCTATTTTAGATACTTTTTCAAACATAGTTAATCATATAATTTATATTAGCATCAAGTACTCTTTTTTGCGTAATTCGCGAAGATCATGAGAAACAAAGTCATAGGCACGTAGGTTCAAGGCCATACCGACTACTCTAAACTTAACATTGCTATCACACGAATTGAAAAGCCATAGATAAATAGACACATTCCACTGCACTGATCAGGGCGTTCGTAGTGACTGAGGGAGTTACGGGCGTGTAAAACAAAAAAATATGCTGATAGGGGAAAATAGCTCGGAGCCAAGATGATAGAAAGTTCACACCTCCCGTTCTTACACCCTTGTTTGGTGTCACTAGTATCTTACGACCACCCGCGGTTTTTTCCGTCTTTTGGGATTTTTTGCGTTACCAAAACTTTTAGCTTTTTGTTGTCTTTATGTTTAAAGTTACAAACTTTAGTCGTTCTTTAAACTTCCCAACCTTAGATCATTTCATACGATATTTAGTATAAATACAAATCAAACAAAAAAAGGAAAATATTTGCAATATATAGAGTTTATTACATTGAATTGTTGAGAGTCTCCAATTGGCAGGTTTTAAAAGTTAAAGGTGCATTTGTAAAATCAGGAGTTCTGGGGTTGCCTCTATCATGGTTCATACATTTACAAATTTCTATTTTTATTTTATTTTATTTGGCGCCTCGTCTTTGTGCCATCACTTTACCACTACTCCAAAGTTCCTGCACATTCTCTTATTCCCTCCAATAAACCCTATGATTCACTCTATCTCTCTCTAAAATTTCATTGTTTCAAGTAAGGTTACCGGCGACGTTGACCGTGAATGAGAGCTTTTCGTAACGGAGGTGGCAACTGTTCGTCGGCGTCGATGGAGGACCGCCGGTTATGGAAGCACGTTCACGATAACGTCCATGGAAACATTTACCTCGATTATGTATGGCAGTTTCGCTCTTTGTTCTCTTCGTTTTCAATCATTTAGGATATATGTTCATCTCTGTGGTTGTTTGTTTTTTACTTTAAATCTAGTGTATTCTGTTACGATTTTATCGACCTTAAGCTGCGGATTTCTTCCTTCTCATTTCCAGTTCGGAAGGTTTCAGTTTATATTGATAGTCTTTGAAATGTAGCTCTAGCCGATTCTCTGAAATTTATTCGTTAAGTTCGTTTCCTCGAAGAGAAATCAGAGATGCTGATATATGTATTTGTTTGTTAATTCCTGTAGCTCTAGTGTATCTCTGTTTGGGATATCATTAACTATTACCTGTTGAATTTCTATCGAAGTTCAATTTTGTTGCTTGTGATTTTTGACAATGCCTTTTAGTTTATAATTTCAAAATCATATCTTTGCTTGTAGCGTATTAAATATGTGAAGATAAGTCTATCGGATTGTGTTAGTTTTCTTAATTAATTTGTAAGATGTTGAGTTTGTTGTTAAGTTGCCTATCTTTTCATATAGAAATTTCCAGTTATATTCAATAGATTGCAATAGTGACATTACTGATTGTGTATCTGACATCAGCGGATCTATTATGTGTTGAATAAACAGTAGATTCTTATCAGCAAAAGTGAAGAGGATAAGAGATATTTGATACTCTTGAAAATGCTGGTTGATTTCATTGGACTGATGTTTAGACCATAAAATTAGTCTGTGCCTGGAGCATTCTGTCTGCTGCAATATTAAGATGATTTTTGAGATAACATTTAGATTGATGTTTTTCAATTTTTTTTTGGAATTGCAGCTCTCACTGAAATTTATTGACACTGAGCAGTTTCAAAGGCAAGTTTGTCCATTTTGAAGATAGTTGTATAAACTTTTCCTTCAACGGGCTCATTGCTCCACCTTATTTTCCTTTACATGAACAGACTCTTCTAACTTTTCAACAATTTGCAGGCTTCGAGATTTGAAGCAACTTGGTAAGCCTCAACTTAATTACGAGGAAATATCATTAATCTTTTGTATTTGGTCACTGGAAGCTGTGGGTTGAATTCCTTTATTTTCTGTCACTGTAGCTTAATAATTTCTTCCAGGAAACTATCCTAAGGAAAAACAAGTTACCTGTAGTTATCTTAATATTAGTTCTCTCCCCCTTTGATAGGCTACATATACAAACTTTATGGCAGGGTTTATACCATGCACTTTCATCTTTCTCATTAGATATTGTTGGCAAGGAAGATAATGCACTCAGTACTTCTGATGTGAACATAGAAGTAGGGTGTCACATTTTGTCCAAGCAGGTTGGTGGAGTGTGTCAAAAGGAACTCATGGCACCTGTGCATAGCTAAATTGGATACTGTATATAAGTTGTGGAGTTGAAAACCTGGTAGTAGTTTACATTTTCATATGCAATTTAGGACCTGAATTGTCCTGTATTAGAAACCAATTAGTTGGATTTTCATCGCAGAGGAATCACAGACATGGTGATTATCCAACCATTTCAGAGCATATTTGATCTCTGACATCTCTATTCCTTTGGATCCAGTTATTGATAAAATGGATAGTTACTTATGTTTAATTGGTTCTCAAGTTCTGTATAGTTGGCTAAATGTATTCTCGTGCAAGAATTTTTCTATCAGATACTCTCCCAATACCTGGTTTGTGGTACCATTTTTAGCTTTACTATCTTGCTGTTCTGTACCAAGTTTTCATTTATGACAGGTCTATCACACATGGTATATCCTGGAGCAGTACATTCACGGTTTGAGCATTCAGTTGGTGTTTATTGGCTTGCTGGTAATGCGATTGAAAAACTCAAGGCAAACCAGGTAAGAAATGTATCTTGATTGCCTGACTGCTTTCCTTAATCTCAGTGAAAACTTACTCAATTGACGTGCCTTGGTTGTAGGGCTCAGAGCTTGACATTGATCGTTCAGATATCCAGACTGTAAAACTGGCTGGTAATTAGGTTTATGTAGTCTGATATTCATGTCTTTGTTGTGTTATCACTTTGTTGTAAGGTTACTTCCTTTCATAGGTTTACTCCATGACGTGGGCCATGGGCCATTTAGCCATTTGTTTGAGCGAGAGTTTCTTCCAACGGTTCTTAATGGCTCCAAATGGTAATGCTTACATTTCTTCACATACTTCATCTGCTTAATGTGGCATTTCCAAACAATCATTACGATCTAAATGATGATGATCGAGAAGTCTAAGTGAGAGTGAATGTTCATGTTACCTCCTCAACCACTACCTTGTCTTCTTAAGTCTAAAAATTTGTTTCCCTATTTTGGTTTGTCGTAGATGATATGCTAAACTTGATGTTAATTATGTCCAAATCCTATTGAAAATGTTTTCATTAATAAGCTGGTCAAAGTGGTTTTAACCTGCTAGATACTTTTAAGCTTAGTTTTAAAGAGTTGTTTTACTGATTTCAGTATCAACTTGATTGGTTATTTTGCAGGTCACATGAGGACATGTCTTTAAAGATGATAGATTATATGGTTGATGAGCACAACATTGATATAGATGCTGGATGCCTTAAAAAAGTGAAGGTTATCCGTCCTCATAACACCCTTTGTTGTCATGTTATACTTGAATAGACTAGTCTCTATGCTATCTGTGTTCCAATACATTGGACGCAGCCCTTTCTGTTGTCAAAACTGATTTCGCTTTGACTGAGGTCCCTTAAGTCAAACTGATTAAGTGGTTCTTTTCACACAACCATCAAAATTATTGCAGCATAAGATTCTTCAATTGTGTTCCAAGGGCTAAAGATGCACATGTGTTCCCGAAGATAAATAATTTGTTTGTCATTTCTTTTTGCAGGAGATGATCATTGCTAGTTCTGATAATGCTCCAGTAAAAGTAAGAAATGACAGCTCACGTTGTCTCTATTTGTTAAGCAAGGATGCTTTTGTATTGGTTTGTCACGGTATCTATTAATCCTCCGTTGCCACTTCTTTATCCATGCAGACTTCAAAAGAGAAGCTTTTCTTATATGACATCGTTGCAAATGGTCGAAATGGCATAGATGTTGATAAGTACGCTAACTACTCTTTCCAGGCCCTACACAAATCAACTTCTTGCTTATAGTTGTGGATCAGAAAATCGACTCCTATTCTCTTTTTCTGCTTTGCAGATTTGATTACATTGTTCGTGACTCTCGAGCTTGTGGTCTTGGATGCAACTTCCAGTTTGAAAGGTAATAAATTATGTCATGCAGTCTTATTAATCTGTGTATAATCAATTGATATCATGCTTTATAATATCTCAGGCTGTTGGACACTATGCAAGTCATAGACAACGAAATATGTTATCGCGCCAAGGAATGTTAGTATTTCATCTAAGTCTTTCTTCATTGAAAATGTTGTTATCAATTGTCTTATAAACTTTAAACGATTATTGATCAGATCTGACAGTTCACAAATTATTCTACACTCGTGCCGATCTGCACCGCACAGTCTACACACATGCAAAAGTGAAGGTGAGTGTTGAAACTTAGAGTTGTTTAATTGAAATTCACATATTCTATTTAAAGAAAAAGTTGTGCATATTAATCATTTGTTTGCAATTTTTTTGTAGGCAATAGAACTCATGTTTGTAGATGCTCTTTTAAAGGCGGATAATTATCTTCATATTTCGTCATTCATTCACGACCCGTCTCAGTACTGGAAGGTAGTACTTTTATCTGAAGTTTCAGAACAATTACAGTTTGTTTCTCACATATGACATGATATCTGCAGTTGGATGATTCAATATTGAAGACAATTGAAACTGCTGAGGCTGATGAGCTCAAGGAATCAAGAGACCTGATCCGGAGAATCCGGAGACGGGACTTATACCAGGTTTTTCTTCAACTATCAAGTAAATATGCAAAAATCATGTAACGGGTTGCCATCCAAGAAAAAAGGTTGGCTTTGGAGCATAAAAAATTGAGCTCATTTAGTGTAAATTATGAAGTAAATTTGCTTTATTTCCTTCCTGTCATGAAAACGGAGTTCCCAAATCTTGTTTGGTGTTATTTATGTACTCCCTCCGTCCAAAATAAATATCTACAATGAAAATGTCACATAATTTTTTGTATATGTAATTATTACACTTTTTAAATAACTAAATGACACTTTTACCCTTGATAATAGAGTGAGAAACTTTCTTCATCTCATAATTAAGGGTATAATGGGAAAGTGAAATCTTACTTTTGAAAGTGGATCCTTGTTTTGGGACAAATTAAAATAGAAATGTGGACACTTAATTTGTACGGAGGGAGTAACAAAAATGGTTTATATTTCGTCTCTATATCTAAACTTCTACATTTCTAAGACAAGCGTTGAGACAATAACTCACATATTGCGTTCAAGCTGCTTCTATTGACCCTTCCAGAAACAATCTATTGATGCAATACTTGTTTCGGCAGTTCTGCAATGAGTTTACTGTTCCCAAGGATAAGCTGGACCATTTCAAATACGTCAATACACAAGATATCATTTGTTCACAGGTTCTTCAACCTTGTTTCTATCAAGCTTTAGTTCCTTAAGTTACACAGTTACTGATGTTTACTTATGATCCAGAAATCTGGTGACATTACTCTGAGGGAAGAAGATATAGCAGTTAGCAATGTCAAAATTGATTTGACACGAGGAACAAACAATCCACTCGAAAGGTATTATATGTTGCAAGAATTGTTTATTTATAGCACTTTTTTATTGCATCACATGGGGTTTTCTAACTTCATATTCTCTTTCCTTGTGGTTCTCCGATTCAGCATCAACTTCTTTAAGGTACAGAAATTTTTTAGATATCATATTTCTCAAAACTTAGCTGATTCGTTTACACCGTTTCATTCAGTTTCTCGTATCCCACTTTATTTCTCCTCAATCATGGGAATGAAACCCATAAATAGAAATGTGAAATGGAATGAAATGGATTATTAGGTGAATTGAAACCTTAAAAATAACTGATGCTGTTGTTCCAGGATTATGACAGTAAAGAGAAATTCCCAATTAGCAAAGATCAGATAAGTCACTTGCTGCCAGCATGTAATCAGGACTTGATAGTGAGAGTCTACTCCAAAAAGCCTGAATTGGTACCTCTCAATTTTCTCAAATAAACAAAAAATCATTTTCCACAAATATTCTCGGTGCTCTTATAACATACATCAAATGTGTGTGTTTGTTTTCTCGCAGGTGGAAGTGGTTTCCGACGCTTTTGAGAATTTCCAGGTAAAGTCATATGGAATGAAAGCCCAAGTCCACGGAACTCCAGAAAGGAAGAGGCGCAGGATGTCCTTATAATTGTCTCTTGCAGGTTAGAATAGTAGGTGAATACTTGCAAAATATATACATATACATCCTTGCTTTCGGATAGAATAAGCAACAAAAGGTAGAAAGCTCGCAAATATTATTAAGAATTCCATCTTTTTTGTGATCGTTCTTAACTGTCTTTTTTGCAATACATATACGTTCTTAACTGTCTTTTTTGCAATACATATACGTTCTTAACTGTCTTTTTTGCAATCTTGAACTCGTGAACAAGTAGATTGTGTATTCTCACACTCTTAAATTGGAAGCTTCTTCTGGATGAAACCATTGCTTGTTGAACTGATAACACACCAAAATCAATATACAATCACTCTTACTCGGAGAAATGATTAGCAAATGATCCCCAAAACGATCGTTGCACCAAGTATTATGAGCTAAGAGCATCTCCAACAGATTCTTCATAAAAGTCAAAATCTTCAAAGAAATTTATATTCATCTTCGACAATTCTTCATTTTGGAGATTATAATATGAATTATATCATTAAAATATTCAATAGCTTTCATGCTATATTATTTTTCTCTCCTATAAATTTAATTTCAAGGATTCTCATGGGTAGGAATAACAAAAAATAATTTTTCATAGATAATCATTTTTGGAGAATTTCACTCTCACTCTCTCTCTCTCTCTCTCTCCTACTTTCTCCATTTTGGAGAATCTATCGGAACAAAAATCTTTATTTTGGAGAATTTGTTGGAGATGTTTTAAAGTTATCAAAAGAATGGCATAAGAAGAGAAGAGGAGACGTACCATGGATAAATCTTCCTTTCCCATCCTCTCAGGAGCTTCTTTAATGAAACGTTCCATATAGAAAAGAACAAAGAGCCCACAATCGTACGTGTTTCTTTGCTGTGGAACCTGGTTGGTGATGAATGGAACATCAGAATCTGATATACAAGAAAGTCCTCAAGTAATCTGAACACAAAATAAGATTGGCATTGGGCAAATAGGATTCTATCTTGAAAACTTGTTAAGAATATAAAATACTAATAGGCATGAGAATGAAACACGAAACCCACTCTATTGAGGAACCTGGTGTACCCACCTGGGATTCCCTAGAAAACTGGGGACCAAGATCCCCAAAAGTTAAAAGCCGAGGATGAGGGAGGGGTCATGTAACGTAATTCACACCCCAACCCCGTCCACCTATATTATATATTTATTATTAAATATATTATCTATAAAAAATTAGATTTAGTATTTTTTAGATGGTATTTTGACCTTTCTTCTTATATATATATATATATATATATATATATTTTTTTTTCTAGCTTGTTTTACTTTTTTTTTTGTAAAATATTTCACATAAACAGGAAAAAAATCCACAGTTCCCCATTTGGGACGAGGATGAGGATGTGATCATATTCCCCAACAAGAATAGGAACAGGGATGGGTACAGAGATTGAGGACTACGGACGGGGATAGCGATTGGGGTTCCTGCCCCATTCCAAATTTCTATTTCTGATTGTCTCAAAATAAGTGTTCACTTTCAAGTGTAAATGTGTACTTTCTAATTCTACCATTTAAGTATGAGATGAGAATATTCATTGCTCCCACCATTAATAAGAGGTAAAATTGTTATTTAGTAAATTATAAAGTGTAACAATTACATATTTCTTGAACTCTGCATTTGTCATTATAGGCCATTTATTTTTGGACGGAGGGAATATAACAATTTCATGTGACAATGAAGTATTCTATTACATCACTTTACAAATTCATTCGGCCACAATTCAAAATCATCCGTTTATCCATTCATCACAACACAACAATTTGCAAGGAAATTTTGTCATGGTCTTGGGACAAACCCTAGCAGGGTTTTTCGATATAGAATGAACAAAAAAAGCTTTTTACAGGACTTGCAAGTTTAACTTAAGATTACAGCTTAACCTAACTTGAGCTAGGGCATGTTTACCATGATTACTTGGTATTCAATGAAGTCCTGTATGGATGAAGCTGTCTATGTGGATTAATCTATCCGCATAGATTGTGGAGGTTTTGTTTGGAAGGTTTTTTCATTGAAAGAAGGAGCGTGTTTATTAATCGGAAGGGACAAGTTTAAAAAAAACTTGGCATTCTGCATAAAGCTCTCCCCTGAAAGCTTTATTGAATAAGCTAATTTCTATATCATTAAATCACTACCAAACAGTCATTATAGCTAACCGAATAAGGTGTGAGTCCAATTAATCTCGTTAAGCTGCTAAGAAACAGATAAGACCTGAAACCTGCAAATTCTAAAGGGCTAACAGTAAATCTGAGATTTACAATGGGAATGGATTTTGGGCACTAGTGGAGTACTGATACAATAAGTCATCGACTCATGGCAAGAATTGAAGGTAGGAGGAGAGTCATTTGGTGTTCCAAGTCTTCCTTCTCCATTTTCGCTTTTCGACAGCCGCTGCCTTCCTTCGATTTCTCGTCGGACGTGATAACGAGGTCCGGTGGACGATCGTTCGTCGAGATCATCATCCGTAGGTAAGAGCATTTTCCAGTCAACATCCAAGGGCTTCTTCCTCTTCAACTTATTCCGTTCTCTCATGTCGATGGCGGAAGAAATCGGCGGTGCCGATCTGCTTATTGGACTCTCGACCGTCGTTGTAGAGAAAGAGATCGACCCCATCAAAACCAAAAGAGGATGCATGTCACACACAAGTTTATATTTGAAAATTATTTTTTTATTCCAAATATTTTGAATTTAATTGTAAATTTATTTTTTGAGCAAAGTTTAATTTTGGTCCCTAACATTTGCATGTTTCAACGACTATCGTCTTAAACTTTAATGTTTGTTAATCAAACAAAAACAGAAATTGAAATTCGTGGGAATCCAATCGATGTGTCACAAGAAGGCAGTGATTAAGTTCGTGATCGTCGCATGTTAGTGTTAGTTATTCAGATAAAGGAATGCAAACTGCTCTATCAACAGAAAAAGAAATAAAGCGCATTTGCCTCTTCCTGGTAATAATACAGTGGCAACGAGGAGGTCCGGTTCCACAGTAGCAAAAATAAGACAATAATTGTTAACAATTGTTGCAGCTAGAACAACCCTACATTTCTGACCTCAGTTGGTTTCTCATTTTCAGTTGATGTCGAATAGCCATGCGGGGACCCCATCAAGGGATAATTGCTATGTCTGTTGGGGACCTTGTTCAGAAATACCATAATATTCAACGATTTTTATGGGTTCTTAACTTAAATAACCCTTTAAAAAAAAACTATAAAATAGCCTAAAAATACATTTTCTACAAAAATAGCCACGCGATCCTCCTTTCTCAAGGAGAAATGCGAAATGGCTCACCTAATAAATAAAATTTGGAGTTGGTTAGACGCAGGGGGAGGAGGAGCGTGCCTCTAAGTGCTAAATAGTCTGTCGCCCTATTTCTCTTCCTTTTTGGTTTAATATTTAAATTTTCTACCATTACAATTAATTAGTAATGAAAAAGTAAGACACAAAAAAGTATAAAGTATATTAAATAATTAATTATAATAGTGTAAAATATAAATATTAAATGTAGAAGGAAGAGAGGGAGAGAGGCGGACGGCCATTTAGCGCTCCCCTTCCACTTGTGCGTAACAGAGTCCAAACATCTAATCATTGTCAGCTTTTTGTTATTTCAAGTCAGATTTTATTTGTTAGAAAGACTTATTTTCGCATTTCTCTTTCAAAAGAAGAATCAAATAGCTATTTTTGTAGTTTTTTTTTATATACAAAAGTTATTTAAATAAAAACCCAATTTTAATACATCTGTTTAATAGTCATTAACTTATTCTGTTTAGTCCAGTATTTTAGTAATTTTCACTATTTTTTTAATATTAATATTAAAAATATAATATTATATTTTTAATTTTTAATTGTAAATTGTAAAACCTAAAAAGAAAAGGATAAAAAACACATGAAAATGAGAGTTATTTTAGTAATTTTCACTATTTTATTATATTTAGAAATTGTAAAGCAGAAAAAGAAAATAAAACAAAAAACAAAAGATGGTGGTTACTTTTTTTTTTTTGGTTTTATGATATAAAACTGAAATATAATTGTTTTTTAATTTTAAAATAAAATCAAGAAAATAGTGAAAATTACCAAAATATTTCTTATATAACTGGCCTTAACGTGAAAAAATTAACAATCATTAGATATTATTGTAAAACATTGGCCATAGAGTAAATTCAATACATTAATTACTGTAATTAACAAGGTTATAAATAACATGAGAATTGAGATATTATATAACAATAAAATGAAGTCTTAAATTTTAGGAGTCATAACAATAAACTCCAATTGTATAAGCTTCAACGATAAACATCATCAAAAACTCATTGATCAGTGGGCCTTTGGGAATTCTCCTTATTGAAACCTCCAAGGCTTCTAGAATATTCCCCAAATTAATCAAGTGCACACAAACTGATCTGGATATCCATGGTTAAAAAAGAAAAAACTCATTAATTGTTTTAGAAATATTAGAAGTTATATAAAAAGAAGAAAAATAATATACATAGATATATAACCATAAAAAATGAAAAACTAAGAAACACATTGGTTACTATTTCATCTTCCTAATATGCACATGTGTATATAACTACTTTGTCCGACATACACATGTGCATAACATGCACACGTGTATAGAAACCAAGAAACAACTTCAATAACTTGTATGCACATATGAATATCATACAGATGAATAATTACCAGGATGATTCTTAGTTTTTTATTTTTTTGATGGTTTCCTCTGAATCTCCCTCCCTCCCTCCCTCCCTTTGTGTGTGTGTGTATATATATATATATATATATACTAGTTGTGTACCCGCGCAATGCGGCAGGAGCCATGAATTTTAACGATTTTGAAGTTTCACTGATTTTATAAGATAAAATTTAACGATGATATAGGTTATACTTGGTCTTTACATATTAATACAATTTGAATAAATAGGAGTTATGGTTCCAATTACAGACTATCGATGAAAAAAATTGTATGACAGTTTAAAATTCTATATATTTAAAATGCAACATATTTAAACGACTCCACAAATGTATTCGATTTACACCAAGTGCAAAGAACCAAGAAACTTGAGTTTTAAGATAAACACTCAAAACCAATAAGAAAACTACAAATTTGACAGATCATAAGTCATGAAAAGACAAAAAAAAAATGAGTTTTAGAATGAAATTTCAACTGCTTACCCTCTTTCTTGTCCAGAAACTCAGATTAAGGTTGAATTAATACATGTATATATATATATTTCAAAAAAATCCAAGGACATATTAATTCAAAACATATTATACAGTGCAATTTGGACAGCCTAACCCCAAAATATATAGTACATATATAAATAAATAACTATAAAAGTATAAATCGTAAATATTAAAAATATTTTTTCACAGTATATATAATATATAATAATATAATTAAGTCAAAAACTATTCAATATTTGACTCATTTCGAAGGTATTAGCGAGACTATTATAATGATGGAATTTGTTAAAATAAAAATGTATTTTTTAAACATGTTTTAATTGATATACGATTATGTCTGTTAATTTGATAAATGTTTAAAATAAAATATTTAAAAGTAAAAGACGTAAAGTAAATTAATTAATTAATCATAAAGGTATAAAGTGTAAATTTTAAAATTATAATTTTAAATAAATCGGTTGTGAGAGTATGAGTATGTGAGGAGAGAAGGGGTGAAAAAGTGAAAAATGGAGTATAAAAGGTATTTTGGTCATTTAGTATTTTAAGATTTTAAGACTTTTGCTAAATTTGCTTAATAAGATAACTAGAAGCGTACTCGCGCAATGCAGCGAGATACATCATGTTTTTAATATTTCATTTTTTTCTTTATCTCAGTCAATGTATAATATGGCTTTATGTGATTTTGAGAAAGCGATGATGTTTTTATTTTTGAATAAAATATATGTTTGACGATATCATAAAAATTTGACAAAAATATATCGATATTAGTATCAAATTAACTATTTGAAATTCCTCATTTTTTRTGTAATTTTTTAATCCAAT